AGACCAAAACCATTAACAACATCTAATTAAATAAATAAATAAATAAATAAACAAATAAATAAATGTACCTTCACTGTCAGTGAAATCAATGACTGATCTAATATTAGAATATGTGAGGAATTCCAAGTGTCTAAATATAGTAACAAGAACAAAAGTAATACATGTACATGTACGTACATTACATGTATATGTATATGTACATGCATGTATACTAAAAATACATGTACATGTACCTGTATGGTTTGTATGAGTCCTTCATAGCAACAAAACCATGACCACTTCTTATCTTAGCAATCTGTAGGAGAGAGGGAGGGAGGGACACTAATTAATAAGACCATCCAATAGTACAGGGTATTTTTCAGAATTTTAACATTTTCTTAAAATAGCCATAACTCGAAAAATTGAAGTTGGAATCAGCTCAAGCTTTCTAGACAGCATAAGGACATCAATATGTATCAGAAAACGTAATAAAAATTAGGGGTGATTTCGGAGCAATTTTTTGGAAGAAACCATGGGCTATAGCCTTGGGTATTTTTCAGAATTTCGGCATTTTCTTAAAATGGCTGTAACTCGAAAAATCGAAGTCAGAATTAGCTCAAACTTGCTACACAGCATAAGGACATCAATGTGTATCAAAAAATATAATAAAAATTTGGGGTGATTTCGGAGCCATTTTTAGGAAAAAACCATGGGCTATAGTACAGGTGAAATTAGCATATAAAAATGAGACACTTCCTCTATCTCACCTCAATGCTGTCAGAGAAGAGGAACAATGCTATAGACAATGGTTTATTAGTCTTTCCATTATTGCTAATATTTAACTCCAACACATCATGTCTTGAAATAAACCAACGATGAGATGAAAGGACTGTCGCCTAAAAGGGGAGGAGTCAGTTAAAGACCACACCCACTAATTACCAGGACGTCTTCAATGTCATGTATAAGTTCAAATATGTGCATCTGCTTCTCTGTCTTCCTCTTGTCTTCATTTATGTGTCTAGAAGAATTAATAATAATAAATAAATA